CAAACTGAACAAATATCTCAACTTCTGAACTTATCATGACTTAATATGAATATTATGACCTGAAAATGAAACCATGGCATGATAAACACGAAGGGGCCGCGGCGGGCGCGCCGTGCGCCGCCGACGGCTATACGCCGTCTCTCGGCCACAACACCTTATTATCCGGCAACTTCAGAACAACTCAACATGATCATTATTATGAAGCAATTTAGGATACAAACACACGACTGAACATGAATATTACTGAAAACAACAAGACACGGCCCGAGGCCACCCGAGGCCACGCGCGATAGGCGCTAGCGACGGCTCGGGCCATTTTCTCAACAAAACTTCATTTTGCCTCGACAAATCTGATCATAATGAACATGAAATAGACTAACTGAACATATAAACATCAACAGTTCGAGAGTTGCCAGGAAAAATCGAAACTTGTTCGGTGATGATCTTACTTAAACATGTTCGGCCTTAAGCATGACTTTACTTGAAATTCCCGAAAATCGATCGAACACTAAACCTTGTTATGACCTTATTAATATGATTACAAGAGGGGAAGGACGTTACCTCTTGAATCGCTCAACTGAATTGGGAAAATCGGATGTGCTTCCTTGCCTTTGCGCGTGCGCCGTGCGTATACTTCAGTTTGCCGTGCGATTTTATGAGGATTGAAGGATTAATTTAGGGAACTTGATTACTGAACTTAAGGCTTGAATATGCTGAAAGTTTGCTGTAGGAAAATTGGGGTAAAATTTCTCAAACTTACCTTAATTTATAGATGGCCGATTAGGGAGGGGGATGATGGTGTGATGGCGTGGCCTTCTTAGGCTATTGCCACTTGCTAGCTTAATAACAAGAGTTTGAATGACTAAGCCTCCTTCTTCACTTCTCCTTAATACACGTGGATGGTTAGTGTGTGGAGGGGAGAAGTCTTCTTAAGACTTAGGAAAGTGATGAATACCTTATGAACTTAATTACATCCATACGAACGGCCTTATTAAAGATATTTGGGAAATTTCCTAAGTCATGGCATTTGGACATTTAGGCCACGGCTTAAGACATGAATTGTGATTAATTAACATTAATCACTTAATTTATGTTTAATTATTCAATTAAACATAATGCTTAATTACCAAAATTATTCCGAACGTAATCGATACGCCGAAACTAAATTTCGGTATTCTCAACTTAACTTAATTAATTCTTAAAATAATAAACGTTAACATTATTATATCGGAACTAAAACGTAATTTATACCGATAAAATATCGGGATATTACAATCCTCCCTCCTTACAAAATTTCCGTCCTCGGAAATTCAAAACATAGCTGATATACATGAACTATGTACATATGATAAAGAAATATGTACATCAAAACTGAAAATCTGGGAAACGAGCGCGAATGTCAGACTCTTCCTCCCAAGTAGCTCCGTGGCGATCCCACTGAATACGTACGAGGGGAATATCTCGCTTCCAGAGCCGACGAACCTGACTGTCTAATACAACTACCGGTCGCTCCTCGTACGACAAATCTGGCTGAACCTGAATATCCGTATGAGGGATGACATGATCGGGGTCGCACACGTACTTACGCAACATAGATGCGTGAAATACATTATGAATGCCTGGTAACTCGGGAGGTAGGGCTAGACGATACGCGACCTCGCCTACTCGCTCGAGAACCTCAAACGGACCGATGAAACGAGGGTGCAGCTTCCCTCTCTTTACGAATCGCACAACACCACGAATCGGACGAACTCTGAGAAAGGCTGGCTCGCCAACCTCGAACTGAATGTCTCGTCGATGATGATCGACGGAAGATTTCTGTCGACTCTGAGCTGTCCTGAGTCTC